TTTTTACTACAATTTTAACAATTAATAATTCTAAAACTAGCCATTGAATGTTAAAAAAAAATTCCACTGTACTTTCTGTAAATTTTTCTACACACATTCGCAACTGCAAGTTCCTATGTTTAATAGTTTTCTGCTGCAAAACAAAATGCTACATAAAGTCGAAAATCTAAAACAGCGGCGGCGGAGGCTCTAAAGATTTTTTTAAATCTATAGACAGATCATATCGTTTACTCTTTTAACTCATTTTATTTAAACCTTTAAAAATGACAAATGATGGATAAATTTTCAGTAATGGTAGAACATTTGTTTTATTGTTAGGCTTAATCTTGCAAAAACAAAACATACGTATCTGCCGTGATATATTAGCTCTTCTGCCAACTATTACACTGTTTGCAAGCTGTTTTACAGAGTGGTAGACAATCAACAACTAAAACTTTTCGAATTTTAGTTAATTTTGTTTACATTTTAAGAGTCCCTCCAATGAGAACTGATTTTTTACTAAGTCACCTGGGGACGTTAACTACTATGCTTTTTACAAAATATTTCATAGAGTGGTAGGCAATAAAGACTAATAAGCCTTTAAAATCTTCTCTACGAGAGAGGTGGAAACTTAAACTTAAATTGTATAAAATATCTGGGCACCTGAGGCCGCTTGCGGCCCTTTTCCCATTCCTCTTGAGCTTGATCTGTGTGGTGCTTCGTTAAGATTGTGGAATGCGAATGAAGTATTCATGTGGATCATTGAGGTTCTGACTGTGTAATTATATGCAGTAGGGTGATAAGATTATATTGTAAAGGTGTGAACTTTAGCTAAGCAGATATGATGAAAATGAGGTTATGTATATGCTATTGATGTCGGGAAAATGATGCATTACTGCAATAGTATGCTGCTATTGGTCTGATGTTCTTGTCTTCAATTAAATTTTCAAATAGTAATATTTATTGAAATTTGCTATAGAGCAAGAGGTGGCTTTTTCGTAGAATTTGTTACGAGAGAGGTGGAACCAAGTAGGGTTTCTTTTGAAATTTTGAATTATTCAAATGTAGTGGTGTAGAAAATAATTTTAAATGAAATTTATAATGCAACGAATCTTACATTAAAATGTAAATTTAGCTACCATTGGTGGACGCCCTGCATATACCTTGCTATCACGTGAAATTTTTTCTCTAAGCGTCGAAAGGTGGCATTCCTGTATATTATAATATTGTAAATAATAAACCGTATAAAAAATTTTTAATTAATAAAGCGACAAAATATGAATGCAATATATAAAAATGAGACCAGAATAATTGCATAAAAATTATAAAAACACAATAAACAAAGGTTTATTACTTATGTCCAATCGTGATTCGATACATTTGTTCTATTTTATAGATTGTTATAAACATGCATTAGTTACTTTCTGCAAGTTGTAATTGAAATCACAATGCTATTACACTCATGGGATAAAAATTCGTTTTCTTGACGATGTTATAGAAAGCTGTAATCATCGCTCAAAATTNAGTTGCCATAGTTCGATTTACAAACAATGGGTAGGCTTCCAAATGTTTTAAAAATTAGGAGTAGTCAGCGGACCCCCAAAATATAACTCATGGACCCCTTAGGGGTTCATGAACCACAGGTTAAGAAACCCTGCTTTAGAGCAAGAGGTGGCTTTTTCGTAGAATGAGGTGGATTGATTGATTGATTGATATGAGTGGAATCTCGGTGTTAAGCGCGAAGCGCTTCTAACCGATTCATCTATACTGTTTTGGCATTTAGTCCAGAGGTCATATACAGTTCAAAGTTCTAAGTTAGGATCAGATAATAAGTCCATGATGAGGTGAGGCATGAGTTGATTCAGTAGTACATCAGTTGTATGGGGAATTCCCCTGGATTAAAGTTGTGAGAAGATGCGAATGAGGTGGAACCAAGTAGAGTTTCTTATGAAATTTTTAATTAGTCAAGTGTAGTGGTGTAGAAAATAATTTTAAATCAAATTTATAAAGCAACGAATCTTACATTGAAATGTAAATTTAGCTCCCTGCATATACCTTGCTATCACGTGAAATTTTTTCCCAAAACGTCAAAAGGTGGCATTCCTGTATATTATAATATTGTAAATAATAAACCGTATAAAAAATTTTAAATTAATAAAGCGACAAAATATGAATGCAATATATAAAAATGAGAGCAGAATAATTGCATAAAAATTATGAAAACACAATAAACAAAGGTTTATTACTTATACCCAATCATGATTCCATACATTTGTTCTATTTTATAGATTGTTATAAACATGCATTAGTTACTTTCTGCAAGTTGTAATTGAAATCACAATGCTATTACACTCATGGGATAAAAATTCGTTTTCTTGACGATGTTATAGAAAGCTGTAATCATCGCTCAAAATTCGAATCGCCTACTTTCAGATCGGAATAAAAACGCGTTATAGGCCAGGCACGATTTTGCTCTTTACTCAGTAGGCTTTGGCTTTACATGATATGCGATGATTAAAACATAATTTATGTGTTCTTAATCTACATTGATTACGCGGAAATTATTGTTTAGTATAATTAGTAACATTATATTTATGCATATTAATCACTATTGTATTCGGTTTAAGTTGAAATATGTCTAGGAAAATTAATGGAAAAAATGTCACATTTTTTTATTATTCATAATGCATTATTAGTTTTGCATTTATAGTTAGAAGTTGTAAAGCCACTTAATCAGGGGTCAAAAATTTTTGCAAAGATACATGCCCGAATATATTTTTCAATTATATATTAACCCGTTTTGTCCCGAATTTATATATTAAAATGATTCAAGAAGTGGTTTGATAGAAAAAGTGGTATAATATATTATCGAAATTAATTGGTTTTTCTACTGTTAGAGCATTCAAAAAGTCTTTGAGAGATCAAAAAGTACCTACTCCTTATAATTCTAGATCTAATCAGAAATAACTAAATCATCATGGTATCTGAAAATATTTTAATTCACCCAGATAAATGAAAATACTGAATAAAGTTTCCCATCACAATGAATGTCTTTGAAAAAAGGAACTGTCCTAAATATATGACGCTGGGCGTTAACCGGTTAATCAAAAAATTTGAATGTACCTATCATTAATCTGTCAAAAAATGAATTAACAATATTATACCTTCAATGACACTTCTATTTTAAGCATAAATAGAAATGATGAGTATTATTAACAAAGAAATGGTAGTTATTATTACGAAAATATTAAGCACGAATGATGGAGTAAATGCATAGCATTATTCTCAACAAAGAAGTGATATTGTGGAAATTAAGTACAATCGGCAATTGCTTATCCTCAACATATTTAGTTAAAACGATGTTGGATACTTTTGTTATTTAATAGAGTCTCGGTGCTGCCATCTAGTGTGGTAGAAACTAGACGTCCAAATTAACATGGCCAAAGGTATCTCACCCATTGTGGTGGTCCTGAAAGAGTGGATACCACTTCTGGAGTACGCACTAGGTCTGCTCATCGGGAAGACTGATTGTGCAGCTCATAGGAAATAAAAAAATTTGTTATTTTCATATGCACAGCGATTGGGATCTTTTTTTTAAGATAAAAACTAACAAGAATTTTTTTCTTAAAAAAAAACTAACTTTATATAATTAATTATCTATTTACATAATTAAATTTAATAATGTTAAGGTCTAATCAAACATAATTTATTTTCTTTTTTCCCCTTACCTCTTCTTTGCAATTTTTATTTTATTTAATAACCGTCGTTGAACAGCCAACCCGATTTCCAGCTTACGACTACCAATGTTCAACTCCGTCACCTTGTAATTTTGAACTCAATTCAGAAGACAAGGGAACTGCTGGATCAAGCATTGGGTGAAACTTGCCTCCACAGAGGTCTTTATGATGCAACTAACCCGCATTTGCAATACAAGGAGAAGAAAATCACTAGAACCTCCCACGGTTTATTTAACCTCCCACAACCCATGATTCGTCTACCACTGCGTGGGTCTTACGTTAGCAACGTGGTCGGTGCAAGTCGGGTGCAGATTTCATATCTACCAGCCATCACTGAGATTCGAACTTAGTCACCTCATTATGAAATCTAATGCTGAGTTGAAGGGCGATTATTTGAAACAGGCTCAAATCTCATCAGACAATAAAACTGGACTTGATGGATTAAATTTCTCTTTTTTACTACTAATTCGATGAAGTTCGTTGCACTGATCCCTTGCTTAAAAATTAATATGCAGCCTATAATGTGCATTCTTGTTTTAGCATGATAAGGAATCTAAATCTATTAAGGGTTGGTCATTACAGAACACCTCTTGTATATGTGGCTGTATTTCGAAATTATCTACTATCCAGTTATCTATTATCCATTAACTGAGCTTTGAGAAAATCGGGAATTTTATACAAACTTTATTTAACGAATTTGAGAAGGAAAAAAATTTTTAATTATTTGTTTACTTTCAAGTTTAACTTTTTTTACTATCAAAACTCAATTTCTAGTTTAATGTTTTATTTAGCTCTTTAAAGAGACATAGCAACCCCCCCCCCGAAAAATAAATAAATAATAACAATAATAATAGTAAATAATAATAATAAATAATAGTAATAATAAATAATAATAATAAATAATAATAATATATAATAATAATAATAAATATTAATAATAATAAATAATAATAATAATAAATAATAATAAGTAATGATAATTGTAAATATAAATTTCGATTTATTTAAAATTATTTTTTATAAATCTAAACCTTGTAAGAATCAAAACTTGATGTAGTAATTATACGATAACTTTTTTGACTTTTTAACTAAGTAATCTATTTTAATATTAATGTTTTTAAAAGATATCGGATTGGTGGAGAATAATGAAGGTAAAGTATATTTAATAATTTTTGAACTTTTGATGTGATTGAAAGATTTAGTCTCTTATATTTTAAAGTTTATGAATAGCAGTATTATATTGAATTATTATTTTTTTATTAAAAATATTTATTTTCTTTCTAGGCTCTGCATACAGTAGAGGTAAGTGCAAAATTTTCCATGAAACATTTATTTATTTTTAAATCAGTGTTTGCTTACCTTTATTCATAAAACGCTTTACATATTTCAAGGAAAAATATCCTTAGATGGTAAGTGAAATAAATATTTTTAATAAATGTTTTTGTGTCGCTTTTTACGGAAATGGAAGCATTTTCAGTTCCAAAATTTAACGTGATGGTAGATCACGATTCGAAAATAATAATCTTGAAAGACTGTTGTTTTTCGAACTTTTAATTTTTATTTGTGATCTTCATAAGTGTCAAAACATATAATTTTATTTCATAATTCTTCTGACCTTTCTTTCAAGAACTTCTAGCTTCTTTTCCAGGCATTAAGTCTGCCACTAATATTTTTCTTTTAAGGGTTTGCATTGTTTATAAGAATAAAGTTTTTTGCTATCATTATCGTTCTTCTAATGTTGAATAGAAAAGATGTTGATATAGTGTAAAATGTGAAAGTCAATTTTAATATAGACTAATATGAACGTTATTTGGAGATGTCCAGGTTGGTAGGTACTTTATTTACGTCTCACTAGAGCTGCACAATGGGCTATTGGCGACGGTCTAGGAAACGTCATTGAGGATGATCCGAAGACACGCCATCACAATTTTGATCCTCTGCAGCGGGGATGACTCCTCTGCTTCGGTAGCCCGACGACCTACGAGCGAAGTCGAGCATTTCACGGTGAAACAGTTTAACAAGGACCGATACCGCACACCCTCTGTACCTACGCAGGCTGATCAAAGTGGTCACCCACCTGCTTACTGACCGCAGACAGTGATACTTGACTTTGGTGTTCTACTGGAACCATGTCTGTTTGATCAGTACATTGCGGGACCGTAGAGAGGTCCGAATCGTGGCGAATGAAATGATTAAATACAGATGGCGCTTTAGTCAGTTTTGATATTACTGTTAGCCTTATTCTATTTATTTTTCGACTCATTGCTTAACCATAACTTAGATTGAGGGCACTATATTTATCTAAATGTGTGTACATGCAATTGGAAAAATAAAATTAACATTCTTAATCTAAGACCCTTGAACGTACACTAGAAGATGTGTTAAAATTTTGACTGTCAAGCTGCTAAAAGTTTTATATTTAACTTATACTTTTTAGTTTCGAAATACAACTGTGGAAAATTTATATTTTAACATTGCTTTAGACACATTAACAATATGTTAGTGATTTTTGGCAAATAAAGAGTTCGTTGAATTTCGTCAAGGGGCTATCAAGGCTAATATATCAAGGGAAAGCTGAATAATTAAATCCTGGTGCTAATATCAAGGGGAATGACATTAAAATCCTGGTGCTAATATCAAAAGAAAGTACGTTAATGTCCTGGTGCTGGTATCAAAGGGCAAAATATTAAAGTCCTGGTGTATATACAGGGGTTGGACGCAATTACGAAAATGCTTTCATATAACCTTTATGTAAACAATCTTTATTTCGGCAACAAATGTTTCGGGGGATTTTACATGGCAAAACTGAAGACAAGATTTCAAAAATCATGCTTGAAACTTTTAGAAATGATGTCATTTTTACCCATGCAAAATTTGAATCGAATAACATGAGAGGAAGTTAATAACTTTCAGTTTCAATTCGATTTCGAAATCATTTTATAGGAATGCAATATTTAATGCATTTTTAATTTTAGCGATTTTGAAAAAGGGAAAAAAGCTTTCAACTTCCTACGCTCATATTGCAAATTATGCATGGGGTAGAAAGGGCGCCGTTTTTAAAAGCTTCAAGTATGATCTTTCAAATTGTGCCAACAGTTTTCCCAACTAAAATCTTTCCAAAACATTTGCTGTTAGAAGAAGGATTGTTTACATAGAGTTAGTATAGAAGTGTTTCCATAATTTTGTCAAACCCCTGCATGTTTCAGTGTTAAATGTCGAGGTCCATTTTTCTCTTTTTTTTAAGATCAGCATAATTAACTTTTTTTTATCTGAACTGATTTACAACAATATTCATCATCTTCACGACTATATTCAGAATATGAACTTTATCCTACTTCTGGCCCACATTGGTTGTCAGAAATAATTGCTCCTAGCAAATACTCCTAAAAGCTCAATCACGATTACCCTCTAGTTATATACCTGTTACAGTAAACCGGGTTTCCAGTCACGAGGATCGGTACTGTTTTCCAAAACTAGAACTCAACAGGCAATTATACAAACTTCTCTTGTTGTTTGCGCTTTAGATATTCTACATGATGTTTTTGCATAGTAAATACAGCACTCGAAATTTATTTCTCGATTTTATTCGATGAAATCGAACATTGAAGTTGAGCAAGGAAAAACCTCGAAATCGAGGAGGATTTTTGGGAATGGAATGTTTGCTTTACACTTCTAGTTGCTACTTTAGATTGAAGTTGTTTGAGTTGGCCATCTATTAACAGGTGTTGGTGAAAAATTCAAACAATTATCGAGTTTCGTTTTTGTATTTTACGATGTATTAATGAGTTTCAGTGTCGAAAGAGAAAATGTAATTTGCATTACAAACAGTAGAGAACATTTGGCCGGGTGTTATCGATTTTATCTATCATACTTAAAACTCTACAGCGTGGAAAAAAAAGCTGTATTTTAATCGAATAAACTCTGAAAATGAAAACAACTATGAATATATATAATAAAAAACATGTATATTCCCGGAAAAGAGGAAAATGCCATCGTTGCGCTACGTCAGAAAAAAAAAAAACGATTTCCCTTAAAAATATTGAATTATTGTTCGAATTTCCGTTTTATTAAGTTCGGTGCAATATATTTCTAAAGAATGTTTTGAAATATGTATAACTGATAGCTGTAACAATGGTGGAATATACCTTTTCTGACTAAAAAACGCACAGATTCTGAAAAGACATAATTTTTTTTCTTCAACAAATTCGTATTCATCATCCTCAAATTAAAAATTCGCAAAAAGTTGGTTTTTATAGATTAAGCGCTATCAAAGTTATGACTTTGGTTGCGCTTACATTATTTTACATTTGTTTTCATATTTATTAAAAGAGTCCTCAAATTAAAATTATTCTTTCACGGAAAGTAATAATCCCACCCTAACACAAGTTTGAAATAAGATAAAGATTTTCAAATAAATTTTATCAATTAATTTGCTGTGTCGAAATTCTTTAGAAATGTAGGGTATAAAATTTTTATATACGACTCTACGATGGTGAAAGAGACACTTTCCAATTTTCGACATTAATTTTCACCAAAAATACTTGAATTATTTTGTTAACTCTACAAGCGTTTAGTTTATACTGTTTGTTATAGTTATGAATAAAGCTTTTAAATGTAAGAGGGACTGTCCATAAAGTATGAAAGAAAACAACTATTTCTAAACACCCTATGCTGGAAAATCAAGCAATAAGCTTGTAACTTGTAATGATTACTTTGGTTGTTATTTGCAGTAACTGAATAAAATTTCGTAAACCTAGCTTAAATAATTATGCAGATATGGATATTTTTATTTTTTGAAAAAAATTGTCTTACGTTTTTTTTCTTCTTTTTTTTTGTTATAACTATAAAAATATTCAATAACATTAAACAAAAATTTTGGAGAAATTTAAAATTTATTACAAAATTATTGTTTTAAGACTTTAAAAAAAAGTTTGTTCAAAACTGCGTAAGATATGAATTTAAAGAAGTTCTTTCGCAAGCGTGGAAAAAAAGTTAACTTTTTTTTCTTCATAATTTTGTAGTGAATCGTATCTGGCAACTAATGATAAAAGTCTGATTTTAATACCTTATAAATTTAAAAAGTATCAAGCAATTTCTTTACTAAGTTGTTTTTTACTTTTTAAAAAGAGAGCGTAAAACGATAAGGGATTTTTCACAATCATTTTGTATTACAAAATAAGATTTATTAAAAATGACATCAGCAATAACAGTCAAGAGTACAAAATTAAATTTGTAGAAACCCCTGTTCCTTTTAAGATTTCTTTTAAAAAGTACAAAAGTTACTCAGAAAATTGTTTGGAACTCTTTTATACTTCAACATTTAAGGTATTTAAATCAGAATTTTTCATTAGTTGCCAAATACGATTCACTACAAAAATATGAATTTTATTTATTTTTGATTTTATCTGTGCATACGCAGTATAAAATAACTGATTGTAATACTCATATGTTAACGCAGTTTTTAACATTTTTTTTTTCAAATTTTAAAACAAGTTTTTTTTAAATTTTATTGAACGTTTTTAAAGTCACAGTAAGAGAACGTTAGACAAATTTATATATGTATATATTTTTTAACAAAAAACGTCCATATGTATATAAATATTTAAGCTAAGCTTACGAAATTTTATTCAGTTAGTCCAAATAATAACCAAACTAATCAATACTAGTTGCAAGTGTTTTGCTTGATTATCTGGCATAGGGTGTTCAAAAATACTTGTTTTCTTTCGTAATTTTCTGTCGGTCCCTCAAAATTTTGAAAGCTTTAAACTCTATTGTTAAGTATAAAAAATCGTAAAGTTACAAAATAACTTTACAGAAATCGCAATCATTGCTGTTTCTTAACATCAAACAATATTTTTCTACGAAAGTTGAAATTATTCACTTAAAATCTTTCTACTATAAAGAATTCTGTTTGTTAATGCTTGTGCCCCCGCTGCCCTCGTCCAACGTTAGTTTCTTTAAGTTGAATATTTATAGCGAGTCAAATTTAACCCTTTTGAAGGCCGTGGTAAGTATACTTACCACCACGTTTTACCACTTTTAATTTAGGTTTCCATTTTTCAATAACTTCAGCTTTCTTGAAGTGAGTTTGAATAAAATTGGTAACCATTTGTCACTTTTAAAAAACGTATAAAAGTTATAAAATACATAATTCCTTATAAAGTTTGTGGCATTTAAGGAATTTATTTTATAAATAAAGAAAAATAAAAGTCAGTAAGTTCCTAATAGGTCATGTTAAATATATTTACCACCAAAAAAATGTCATTTTTATAAACTAAATGAGTTGTTTTTTTTATATAAATTACTGTTCTTAAAACAATTTCAATTCCAAAAATACTTTAATTTGCCTTTACTAGAAATAAAGGGCCCGTTAAAGGGTTAATTGGTAAAAATTACGAGAAAAAAAAATCAAGTATGATTCCATTTCTCTTATGATTCTATTAGTGAACGTAACTAATTTCACTTAGTAATCATTTTTTAAACAACATTTGAAGTTAAAGGTACATTGTTATAACAAATTAGGCGAGTTCTGTACCGTAGACGGCCGTACGTTAGTAAAAGTGGTTAAAAATAAAAGACTGCGTACAAGATTTAACTTCTGAAAAATAGAACTAACATACTTTTTACTTAAATCGTAAAGGACTCAATATGAAAGGTGAATATACAAGATTTCTGTTACTAGTATACAAAATGAATTAGAAATTTAAATAAGAAAAAATGCATATAGAAATTTAAAAGTAAAATATGAAATTACCGTATTTTTAAAGATCATCGTACAGAAGTTTTATTTTCATTCTTTCTTTTTCAAGAAAAAAATTACACACAATGTGTGACACATTGCTTTCATCTTTTTTTTATCTAACATAACTACTTCTCTCTTCATTCAAATTTCTTTTCACGCTATCACAATTCCAAGTGTATATGTTAATAAAACAAAAATAATGTAATAATGTAGATAAATAATGTAAGTAAAATGTTAATAAAACATTAAAGGTAAATGAGTATAAATCGTTCGTGTAATCAACGCAGAGTTGCTATGACTTAGGGAAAAAAAGTTATAGCAAAGTTTTCTTAAGATGACTTAAATTTTAAAATTAGCTTCCGCTTTAGCATTACGAAGTCATTCTCTTGGCTTTTTTTAATTTATTTATTTCCTTCATATATTTTCTTTAAAACTTAAATTTTCTTGGTTAACAGAACAAGTTTAACCCATCTGTATATTTAACAAATTTTCTATCACTTTAAAAAAGAATTTACAGATTGTAGCAACTCGCGAAGCTAAATTCTTTTTCATACGATGCTACCAAATGGCAGCCAAATATTATTAAGCTTTTTATTTCCTTGTTTGATAATTGGGATTTGAATGGATTTGATCACCAGAATATGTAAATTAATCAAACATATGAATAAGAATCTTGCAATTTTGTAATGATGTTTATACATTATGGAAAAAAATATACGAATTTCTGCCGTATTAACGAAATTGGATTATGAAATTACCCCTGAATAAATATATCTCGTAAAAGCTCAAAAATAAGCTTTAATTTTGTTTATTTTTCATTTAAAGTTTGAATAAGTCGTAGAGGTAAAATGCTTATTAAATTCAAACTGACTCTACCCTAATTCTTAGATACTTACGGTTATTAAATGGTGTTCCGCTGAACCCCGGGGCTCCGTGGAAGAGGTAAACGGGTTCCAAGAGTTAGGAATTTTTTTAAAAGTTTTTTTTTCTTGAATTTTTGAAACCTATAATTATGTTTAGATCCGTACTGGGCCCATGTCCAAGTGGTCGTGAGTTCGATCCCTGCTGCCGAAGACTCCCTGTGTAGTAAATGGTGACTGATGCACGTTAAATCTGTCGAGTCTCAAAGTCCTCCATGTTCCCATAACAAATCAATACCTCTGGGGGTACTGAATTGGAGATCGATCGTTCCCTGATTCAGGTCAAAATTACGATCTGTGGATGAATGAATGGATGTATGAATACCCTATAAACGGATGTGACATATGGGTGTGGCAGAAGTCGAATTCTTGCCCATAGATAGCGCCACTGGAAAACAAGAACAATCGCAGCCCCTCTGCCTTAATGGCATACGTCAACAACAACAACATCCAATCAATAATCCATTATTTACTCAATATTTTGGTTACCTTTAGGATAATACTTAAAATATCCAATGAGAAATAAAGTTGCACATTTCTTTAAAAAAAACAAACATAATTTTTCAAATAAAAATGTTTTGAATAAAAGATGAAAAGGACAAGCTTTCATAAAATATTGCATTGATACTTCTCTGCGCTTTTCAAACCAGAAAAAAAAAATTTTAATAACGAAATATGTTTTCTTACTAGCAATTTTCAGCGCTAATAGCAGTTCTTTTTAGTTT